GGCAATCTTGATTTGTATGAATGAAAAATATTAATACTATAATGCAGAAAATTCAGAGTAGACATGTTCGAAAGCAAAACAAACACACAATATATTGTCAGTCCTTGCAGTTGTCATAAGCAGACTGTGACGATTAAACGCACCCGGTGAATTTCAATAAACAACAACAATTACAGAACTCGAGCCCTGTTTACAAAAACTGTGTACATGACACGACTATGCTCGATTTGCTAAACTCTGTACGCAACTCTTAGTTCGGAATGACGATACATATGAAGAAGTTTTGCTTTCTAACTTTTCTACTCTGAATAAAATTATTTTTCTTGATAAAAGTTTTAATATTCCTCATTAATATACAAGATTGCCACTTTTCCTAATGATTAAGAATAATGTTAGAATTTGTGAAAGTGTAATGATGTGTCAAAGAAACCCGCCAAAAAAATTTGAAGTTTTTATAACTTTAAAATGAAATAAGATTTTAAATTAATTTTTGTGTGAAATGCTATTAAAATATATAAGTCGTAATATTATAGAAAAAGCATTGACTTCAAATCTGTGTCCATGTACCTTTAATTAGGAAATCCATTGATTCACATTAAAGTTGAGGAACCGATCTGCTACACAAATGTGATCTTCTGAAGATTTATTAACAGGTTATGGATAGTTTTCTCACATCATTCAACTAATAGAGAATCTTATGTCGACGGTCGACAGTGACAGCCTCTTTTGCTTTTACAATAGCAGTTTATTCGTATGTTTACCCCGTGGGGATCCGGGTTAGAATAGATCCTCAGTACCCCCTTGCTTGTCGTAAAAGGCGACTAAATGGGGCGGTCCTTCGGATGAGACCGTATTAACCGAGGCCCCGTGTCACAGCAGGTGTGACACGATAAAGATCCCTCCCTACTAAGGCCTCAAAGGCCGTAACCCAGATAGCGAGACATAGTTGGGCCAACGTTGGCCCAATTTTTTTCCGACGTTGGCCCATTGTTGGTAACCTAACGTTGGCCCACGGTAATTTTGCTCATCGGCCCAACGTTGGTCCAACATGTTGGCATATTGTTGGGCCAACGTAGGTATAATTGTATGACAACTAACAGCCAACCTTAATAACAGGTTGGTTAGGTTGGCCCAACGTTGGCCCTTTGTTGAAATGTCAGATGGCATATTGTTGGGCCAACGTAGGTATTAGTGTATGCCAGCTAACAGCCAACCTTAACAACTGTTTGGTTAGGTTGGCCCAACGTTGGCCCTATGTTGAAATGTAAGATGGCATATTGTTGGGCCAATGTAGTTTTTAGTGTATGCCAACTAACAGCCAACCTTAACAACTGGTTGGTTAGGTTGGCCCAATGTTTGCCCTTTTTTTTACAATGTCCAATGGCAAATTGTTGGGCCAACGTAGTTATTCCATAGAAACATTTGCAATCGGTTAAGTGATTCTTTACATAAACCTATTTTATGACTGTTTAAAATAATTAATTCACAATTCAATCTGCATTCATAATGCAAACATGGACATGTTCAATGAAAACATTACTAATGATTCACTGTGATAATATTTTATATACATCAATTCAATCATAATTTACAAAATAAATTTTAAAATAGACAAAAGAGGTAAATTATGAAAAATTATCAATTAAAAGTTCTTAATCAGGGCTCACTTTCTTTATTATAGTCCTTTTGTTGTATTCCCGCTCTTTTTCCGTCCCTTCGTCGCCTCCTGTTTTCTTCATCTTGATCTTTGTCATACGGACTCATATTTTATACACTTCTTTATACATGGTCTTCGATTTCATTGTTATTTACATGTACCGCCACAACATTTGTTTTCCTTGCAGTCTCCGACTGAATTTCTTTGTAACAATCGTGTCTGTAATAGACAGTTAAGAATTAGATAGATAGAAACAACTTTAAAAATGTTATTTAACCTTAAACTACAGTGCTTGTGTGCAAAAACATGACAAGAATGAATTCCGAATTAATTTTAACTGAATAAACAAGAATAAATATACTTACATCGCTTCTAAATGCAGCTGTATAGCAAGTGTATAATCCACAAATTTAAATTTCACTTCTTCTTACTTGCCCTGCATTATCACCACCTGCGAGCAATTGAATCTGACAGCTCACTCCACAGTTTTGTCACGTGATAGCGAACGCCTAACTTTTGTTTCAATTTAATTATAAAGCTATGTCATTTTGATTTATGAATAATTTATGTAGGCTTCATTCACATCCTGTTCCTGAGAACGTATTCAGTCTTCTCTAAATTCTCATGAAAAAATTCATAATTTCAAGGGTTTTATTTCAAATAAATAATCATGCATGTGCACTATTCAAAAAATATAATAAAACACTCTTTGGTGCTGTGATCACTTAAGTTAAAATTTAAAAATGTTGAATCTATCAGATCTAAAAAAAAACAGTCATCCAATTAAAAGCATGGACATAGAATGTCAGCTCAGCAGCTAGAATTGACACCATCTTTAGTTGGCAGTATAATAATTGCGCCAGCGTTGGCCCAATATAAATATCCCGTCTTTGAAACACCTAAACAAAAGAACACTCGTGCTAACATCGGGCCAACATACTACAATGTACTGTCTACCAAATTGATAAGACTTCCTTTAAGGGTTTATAACAAACATTAGGCCAACGTTAGGCCAACATACTACTATCAACTTGATAAGACGCATTCTTTATGGGTGTATAACAAACATCGGGCCAACGTTGGGCCAACATACTACTACCAACTTTAAAAGACGGTGTATTACAAATATTGGGCCAACGTTGGGCCAACATACTACTACCAACTTTAAAAGACACTTTCTTTAAGGGTGTATTACAAATATCGGGCCAACGTTGGGACAACATACTACTACCAACTTTAAAAGACACTTTCTTTAAGGGTGTATTACAAACATCAGGCCAACGTTGGGCCAACATACTACTACCAACTTTAAAAGACACTTTCTTTAAGGGTGTATTACAAATATCGGGCCAACGTGGGGCCAACATACTACTACCAACTTTAAAAGACACTCTCTTTAAGGGTGTATTACAAACATCGGGCCAACATACTACTACCAACTTTAAAAGACACTTTCTTTAAGGGTGTATTACAAACATCGGGCCAACGTTGGGCCAACATACTACTTCCAACTTTAAAAGACACTTTCTTTAAGAGTGTATTACAAGCAATGGGCCAACGTTGGGCCAACATCAACATCCCTCCTTCCTTGCGAGGTAAAGTGAATGGCAGTTGCTAACGTTGTCCCAACGTTGGGTCAACATAGGAATTCTTTCATGGTCGAGGAGGTTGGCATGGTGACATTGGTCTAACGTTGGTCCAACGTTGTTCCCCCAACGCCAACCATACAACCTTTTGCCAATGTTGGCCCAACATAGTCTTGCTATCTGGGAAGTGCCGAGCATAGGCCTAAATTTGCAGCCCTTCACCGGCAATGTTGACGTCTCATATCAGTAAAATATTCTGGAGAGGGACGTTAAACAGTATACAATCAATCAATTATTCGTATGTTTTGTACTACCATGGAACTCCATCAAAAAGGCTTCGCTAAGAAATGACCCATATCCTCTGTATACTAATAATTTGGTGATATTTTTCATATTTTTTCTTCTGTATTTATTTAAAGTCTCTTAAGGTGTTACTAAGGCCTCTAAATCAAGCTGAAACTGCTCTCCAGTGCACCATAACGTCATCAAACGTAGCCATTTTTCGTGCATTGTATTTACAACGTTAATTTCCATTTTAAATGCTCAGAAAGACTAAAAATTAACAATTGCCTTGAATTTTTTAAAAGACGTCAAAATTAATTGTGTATTCGAATTAGGATAATGTTCATTCCAATCTTATGTATTTAAAACTTTTATATCGAATTAATACCTGTGTATTCTCTAATATAACCTTGGTTTTTTGAACGTGCGCCGTAGGACCTTACCATGTGACCATTCAAGCATAATAAAATCTTTATTTTTACTATATTTTATCAAAAAAAACCCATGATGCATTAAAATATAATAAATACACATTTACTAAAAATTTCCACTCAGTGCGCCCATTGCTTTTTGAAAAAAAAAACGCTTTGTGCACGATTTATACGGACAACCCTCGTATACGTGTTTATAAAAGAAAATTTAATCTTCCAAAAATGGGAAAAAATATAGGTCACATTTGATAAATAGGCAAGGACTTACCCTTTTGGTACAGGGCTCTGTATTCTCAAATTCATTTTTTAAAGTGGTCAATGTTGATTGATTGATTGATTGACTGATTATATATTGTTTAACCTCCCTCTCGAGAATTTTTCACTCATCTGGAGACGTCACTGTATGCCGGTGAAGGGCTTCAAATTTTCACCTATACTCAACACTCAGGGCCATTGAGCAGTGAGGGGTTTTTATTGTGCTAGCGCCTACCGTGACAAGGGACCTTCGTTTTTAAGGTTATATCCGTAAAACCCGTGACTTTCACTTCTATTGCCGACGGTTGGCAAATGAACAGTCACTACCTTTGTTCACGTCTTAGGTATGAAGCGGCGCCGCGATCGAGAATCTAACCCGGGCCTCCCGATCACAAAGTGAACGCTCTACCAATAGGCTACCGTTAATTGATTGAATGTCGTTTAACAATTCATTCTACAATTTTTCAATCATGTCAAAAAAATCCAGGAAAGCACTAAAGATTGGGATCGTTACTCAGCATCCAGGGCAATTGGGCAGGGTGGGTCTGTAGCTTTCAAACACCTGTCTCGTAAAGTCTCGTACCAAGGAACCGAAATTTTCACTTCAAAGTGCCGACTGCTTGGCAAAAAAACAAATGCTACTTTTTTTTATTGACTTAGGGCAGTAACAACAATGGTTTGAACCCACGACCTTCCGATCACAGAGCAAGCACTGTACTGGATAAAGCTACTGTGACAGTAATAGTCAGTGATACCTCCATAAAATACACAGGAAGTCAAATCGTTTTATCTTTTATTGAAACACTCGATAATCAATAATGCGAAAATGAGGATGGTGAAAAATACCAATAGACAAAATGATAAATGTGATATTTCAGACTCAAATAAAAGAAAATAGGTGAATAAAAAAAACATTGATGAAAAATCTGAAAAATTACTTTATTCGCAATGAATATGACATGATACCGAAATATATATGCTTGGCTAAAGCACAAATTTACCTTTTTTATTGACTTAGGTCAGTCACAGCTGGCAATTCTTTGAACTTTCCGATCAAGAGCAAGTGCTGTCAAAATTGAGCTACTATGACATACAGAAGAAGCCAATGTTAATGACTATATTAGCTCAATGAAATACACAGCCAGTTAAACCGTTTTATCTTTTATTGAAAAACTTGAGAGCTGATAATGCAATAATGCGTATGGTGAAAGGCTACAATAGACAAAATAAAAATAAATGTGATATATATAATACTCAAATATAAGAATAGGTGAAATTTAAAAAAAACATATATGGAGGTACAAAATTTATTATAGAAGAAGTCGGTTTATTGGTCTTTTGTTTTTAAGGTGTATGTATGGTGTTAAGGGCATTAACATGTGAAGACCTGATCGATGTCCATGGTAGGGAGAATGTCATTCTCTTCAAAGACAACCTATCTGTGCTTTGAAAAAACCATTTATTTTGTTTAATTTAATGGTAAATTTAATATTTTTTGTGGAAGAGTTCCCGTACATATCCTATTGTTAATTTAAGCCGTAAAGTTTAAAAGTCGGCGCTCCTTGCCAAAGTCCAATGGTAGCGCAGTAGATATTGAGCTAAAACCAAACTCAAATACATTTTAAATTACAATTATGATCCTTTCTGAGCTCCATATACATTACATTAATGAAGGTTATAAACTTGATATATCCTCATATGATTTTTTTTGGGTATCCTTTCAATTGAAACGCGTTTCCACAAACATCGCCTTTGTAAGGTTTCTCTGACATGTGTACGTATTATTTTCCTGAGATTATTTAATAGGGAGAATAATTTCCGACACACATCGCACTCACGAGGTTTGTTACATGAATGGGTGACCATATAACTCTGGTAGCTTTCAAAGCGATGGAATGCTCTTTCTCAAATATTACGACATGTTTCCTTCTTTGTCTTTATAAGTTTCCTAATCTGTAGAATTCCTTCAAAAACGCATCACACATCAGGTTTTTAACGGTATGTATATTTATGTGCCTCCCCAATGTCTGTAATCTTTAGAATGCCTTCTCTCACACATCACATTCAAAAGGTTTATCACCTGTATATATCCTCATATGACCATGTAAGCTTCCTGAAAAGAGACAGCCTTTCCACAAACTTTACACTTACAAGGCTTTTCATCTGTATGTGTCCTCATGTGTTTCTTTAATTTATTTGAATGGCTGACTGCTTCCCACACACAATACATTTGTAGGCTGATCACGTGTATGCGTCCTCATGTGTCTTTTTAAGTGTTGTGACTGCTTGAATTCCTTCCCACATACATCACATTTATATGGTGTTTCACCTGTATGTATCCTCATGTGACTCTTAAGGCTATGTAACTGACTAACTGCCTTCCCACACACATCACATTTGTAAGGTTTATCACCTGTATGTGTCCTCATGTGACTCTGTAAGTTCTGTAACCGATTGAATGCCTTCCCACACACATTACATTTGTAAGGTTTATCACCCGTATGAGTCCTCATGTGTTTCTTTATGTTTTGTAAATCGTTGAATTCCTTCCCACACACATCACATTTGTAAGGTTTATCACCTGTATGTGTCCTCATGTGGCTCTTTAAGTTCGGTAACCAATTGAATGCCTTCTCACACACATTACATTTGTAAGATTTATCACCTGTATGCGTCCTCATGTGACTCTTTATGTTTTGTGATTCCTTGAATTCCTTTCCACACACATCACATTTATATGGTGTTTCACCTGTATGTGTTCTCATGTGGGTCTTTAAGGTTTGCGACTGGCCAAAGGTCTTTCCACATACATCACATTTAAAAGGTTTATCACCTGTATGTGTCCTCATGTGTCTCTGTAAGTTTTGTGAATGGCTGAATGCCTTCCCACACACATTACATGTGTAAGGTTTATCACCTGTATGCGTCCTCATGTGACTTTTTATCAGCTGTGACTGGTTGAATTCCTTCCCACATACATCACATTTATATGGTGTTTCACCTGTATGTGTCCTCATGTGTCTCTGTAAGTGATGTGAGTCGTTGAATGCCTTCCCACATACATCGCACTTATAGGGCTTTAAACCTGTATGTGTCGTCATGTGTTTCTTAAAGTTTTGTGAATGGCCAAAGGTCTTTCCACACACTTCACATTTATAAGGTTTATCACCTGTATGTATCCTCATGTGTATCTTTACGGAGCATGAATCGGTGAATGCTTTCCCACACACACTGCATTTATTAGGTTTATCACCTGTATGTGTCCTCATGTGTCTACGTAGGTTACTTGAGCTGAAAGTTTTTTTTACAGAAGTTACATTCATGAACTTTTTTACTTTCTTGATTATTGTTGTGCTCTATTAACTTCTCCGTTTCAATGTCTTTAGCACTATTACTGTTTTGACCATCGCATTGAATATGTGAATGGAATGAAAAAGCTTTCCTTTCCCCCTGAAATTGACAAATAATTTTTATGAACTTTTGTTTGAAACAAGCCTTGTAAAATCATTAAAAAACATGATCCTGGTAAAGAGAGAGAAACATGAAAATTACAATGCAACTCAAAAAGATTTTTTTTTTTTTTTGAAGAAATGTGCAGGATAAAATGACCCAATTCATGAGGTCATATTGCATTAAATAGCAATAAAATCACGTGGTATCTGACAGTCATCAAGTGCCTACATCATATTTACTCGTAATGCATTGTGAGATAAAACAAAGCAGTATCAACTATTTAGATAGTTATACGACTGAAAAATTAAATGAAAGGATATTCAGATAGTGTAGATTCAAGTGTGATCATATAATGGGTTGTTGAAATCTGCACCATTACCCAACACTCGGGGTCATGGAGCAATGAATGTTTATTCGGTGTGCCAATGCCTACAAGGCCGTAAATCTCATTTGATCACTCGTGAATCGCATTTGACATCTCTTGAATCGCATTTGACCTCTTGTGAATCGATTTTGACCTCTTGTGAATCTAATTTGACCTCTCGTTAATCTAATTTGACCTCTCGTAAATCAAATTTGACATTTCGTCATCACAGAGTGCTGATCGAGTGCAAAGTGAAGGAATTAGTTCAACCTATGATCACTAAGATATATCATGCCTTGAGCGTTGTAAAACAGTTGGCATGTAGAACAATAGAACATAAAACCAAAATGTAATATTTTTTATATATACATAACTCTAAAAAAATGGTGTAATCGTACCCAAAACAGAACTTGACCTAGATATTCACCTGATTAACCTGTATACTAAATTTCATTTCAGAATGTGCAACGGTTGTGAAGAAAATGAACGGAAACTAATTGGATCGACAGACAGCAGCAAAGCAATATGCCCTCACTTCTTTGAAGGGGGCATAAATATCAATATAAATGTTAAGGCAGTTAGTATATGGGTCCTAATTTATCAGGATCAGAGTTTATCTGGCACCTCAGTATTTAAACAAACAGGCCAGTCTGGTTCCTTCTCCTGCTTTTCTTCAATACGATGACACGAAAAACACTGACTATCACAAAACCTTATGCCAATGAACTACGTAGTTTGACTTAGGACTGAAGTTTTCAAAGTCATTACTACTGATGTTTATTTGCATAGATAAAACTTTGTTTTATATTTTTTCCTTTATTTTTCGTTTGTTTTAGCTCAAAAGTGCCTTAGAGTAAGGACTATATTTTTACACCCAACTTTAATTCGGCAAGTATGTGGTAGACTGACATGAGTTAAGAATTGCTCTTTGATCAAAAAGTCCTGCTAAAAATGAAGTCTGATTTTCCACTGTTTTGTCATTTAACATATCACTTTATTTGAATGGGAAACGGTGAAAATTCAGGAAGCTTTCAATTGATCAATATGCATCTTCCATTGAATTTCAGGTTTGCAAATGTAATCCTAAGTTTCACAGGATGCTCTTATGAGGAGATTTACGTGTGATTTCTTTACGTAATTGGTTTGATGAAGAAGGAACTATTGCTTCCTATTTTAATCAAGTTAGGTTAATGTAGTAAGGTCACATTTAATAAAATTCATTAAAATATTAAATGTGTTTGATTATATTATTTAATGTGATTTTAATGTTTACCTGGCCATGTGCTTGTGTTATGATTTGAGTTGTGTGTAGTGTTTTGTCCAGTTTGGTAGTGTCATGTGATGCATTATTATGGTAATTGAGACCTTGCCCTTTCCTGCCATTGGTTAGGTCAGTTAGGTCATTGAGTATAGCTCTACAGGTTTGTCAGGTGGTAGATTTCATGCAGTTCATGCTTTTCACTTTCAACTGAGACCTTGGTCCTGATAGCAACAGGTTAGATTTCTCTTACTAATTTCACTAATTTTGTTAATTAATTCTTAGTACTTTTGACTATGACATTTACAGTAAATATAAAGTTTATCTAAAGTTAAAGATTTAAATGAGTTAATAATTTTGTTCAATTAAAAGCTTTATTGGTTTTAAGTAATCTGAATGTTGAAAACTACATTTAAGTGTGTATGCAGCACCTTGAACTGTTTTATATTATTTTCATAGCAGCAGGTGCTGGTTTCCCAATTTTTTGCATTGTTCAGTCATTTACAAGCCTCCAGACACATTGTCTTTGGTAAGAACATGTATTTGTTATTTTAGATATTTTTATTACTTTGAACTGGTTAATAAAGCTACTGACTATAAAGTATGTTTGATAAATATTTTTGATTTACCAACTTGAAGCTTAATCATCAAAATGTATTTTTTACTTCTATTTTTATGTTTTATCTGTAAAGCCCTATGAATCTGTTCAGTTGAAATTAAGAGTTATTGCCCTTTGTTCAGAGTGCAGTACTGTATATATTTATAATGAGGTAAAGCATAATATTGAACATTTTGTCATATACTATTATATTTCATGTGATGTATGTTTGTTTATGCTTGTAATTATTTGCTTTTCAGATTTACATGTATTTATATTTATGTTTATAATTTTAGGGCTCATCATCATTCATTGATCCATTAGAATATAATAAATTCATGAACCCTGACAGCGTCTTATTCTTATTAGACCTGTAACATTAAATGTTGCCAGTGTGTTAACCAACAAAATTTTGACAGGTGGGGCCAACTTTAAAATAAGGTTTGTTTGCCCTATGCCGGCTCAGAATAAAAAAAAGTCGCAGATGGTAAGTAGGTGAGACTTCCAATTTCTTTGTTTCATTTTTAAAATCTAAATTTCTCAATACATGAAAAATTCTGCCTTCTGGAGGTTAAAAAAGTTTTGAGTCCAGTCATTTAGAGCAAGTAGGTGAGAAAAGAGCAGCCAAACAATTTTTAAAGGTGGCCTGAGCACTTTTATTAGTACAGTGCATTGTCATCAAAATCCTGACTTACGTTTAAAGTTATTACTATAAGACATTGTCACCAAAATCTTGACTTACCTTCACTATTATTACTACAGGACATTGTCACCAAAATCTTGACTTACCTTCACTATTATTACTACAGGACATTGACACCAAAATCTTGACTTACCTTTACTATTATTACTACAGGACATTGTCACCAAAATCTTGACTTACCTTTATTGTTATTACAACAGGACATTGTCACCAAAATCATGACTTACCTTTACTATTATTACTACAGGACATTCCCAAAAAATCTTGACTTACCTTTACTGTTAACAACAGGACAATGTCATCAAAATCTTGACTTACCTTAACTGTTATTACTAAAAATCTTGACTTACCTTCACTATTATTACTACAGGACATTGTCACCAAAATCTTGACTTACCTTTACTGTTATTACTAAAAATCTTGACTTACCTTCACTATTATTACTACAGGACAATGTCATCATAATCTTGACTTACCTTTACTGTTATTACTAAAAATCTTGACTTACCTTCACTATTATTACAACATGAAATTGTCACCAAAATCTTGACTTACCTTTACTGTTATTACTACAGGACATTGTCACCAAAATTTTGACTAACCTTTACTGTTATTACTAAAAATCTTGACTTACCTTCACTGTTATTACAACAGGAAATTGTCACCAAAATCGTGACTTAATCTTATTATTACTGCAGGACATTGTCACCAAAATCTTGACTTACCTTTACTGTTATTACTACAGGACATTGTCACCAAAATCTTTACTTACCTTCACTTTTATTACTAAATGATATTGTCACCAAAATCTTTACTTACTTTCACTGTTATTACTACAGGACATTGTCACCAAAATCTTGACTTAACTTTACTGTTATTACTACAGGACATTGACACCGAAATCTTGACTTACCTTTACTATTATTACTACAGGACATTGTCACCAAAATCTTGACTTACCTTTATTGTTATTACTACAGGACATTGTCACCAAAATCTTGACTTACCTTCACTATTATTACTACAGGACATTCCCAAAAAATCTTGACTTACCTTTACTGTTATTACTACAGGACAATGTCATCAAAATCCTGACTAACCTTTACTGTTATTACTAAAAATCTTGACTTACCTTCACTATTATTACTACAGGACATTGTCACCAAAATCTTGACTTACCTTTACTGTTATTACTACAGGACATTGTCACCAAAATTTTGACTAACCTTTACTGTTATTACTAAAAATCTTGACTTACCTTCACTTTTATTACAACAGGAAATTGTCACCAAAATCGTGACTTAATCTTATTATTACTGCAGGACATTGTCACCAAAATCTTGACTTACCTTTACTGTTATTACTACAGGACATTGTCACCAAAATCTTTACTTACCTTCACTTTTATTACTAAAGGATATTGTCACCAAAATCTTTACTTACTTTCACTGTTATTACTACAGGACATTGTCACCAAAATCTTGACTTAACTTTACTGTTATTACTACAGGACATTGACACCGAAATCTTGACTTACCTTTACTATTATTACTACAGGACATTGTCACCAAAATCTTGACTTACCTTTATTGTTATTACTACAGGACATTGTCACCAAAATCTTGACTTACCTTCACTATTATTACTACAGGACATTCCCAAAAAATCTTGACTTACCTTTACTGTTATTACTACAGGACAATGTCATCAAAATCTTGACTAACTTTTACTGTTATTACTAAAAATCTTGACTTACCTTCACTATTATTACTACAGGACATTGTCACCAAAATCTTGACTTACCTTTACTGTTATTACTACAGGACATTGTCACCAAAATTTTGACTAACCTTTACTGTTATTACTAAAAATCTTGACTTACCTTCACTGTTATTACAACAGGAAATTGTCACCAAAATCGTGACTTAATCTTATTATTACTGCAGGACATTGTCACCAAAATCTTGACTTACCTTTACTGTTATTACTACAGGACATTGTCACCAAAATCTTTACTTACCTTCACTTTTATTACTAAAGGATATTGTCACCAAAATCTTTACTTACTTTTACTGTTATTACTACAGGACATTGTCACCAAAATCTTGACTTAACTTTACTGTTATTACTACAGGACTTTGTCACCAAAATCTTGACTTATCTTTAATGTTATTACTACAGGACGGTGTCACCAAAATCTTGACTTACCTTTACTGTTATTACTACAGGACTTTATCACCTAAATCTTGACTTACCTTTACTGTTTCTTTGTGTTGATGACCTTCTCCCTCAAGGTCAGAAATGTCAAAGGTCAACTTTTCTTCTACAATCAAAACATAGAAGGTGAAGAAATCTACAATTTCTTATTATATTACATGCATGTTGTAATGACAGATGAAGTACAGAAGATGAATATATGTATTGAGTAATACATTTAGGCTACTTTGATGAATATATAATATATATTTACGCAGAAAAGAGACATGAACATTCTCTTTGGGGAATTTTCATTCATGAAATTGGTAAAAACACCTACATTTTACCATCGGGAATGGAGCCTTTTACAGCCCCCCCCCCACCTTTTGACCCCTAAAAACCCCGGAGAAGTTCTTTTTTTTCTTTGGATACCACTAGAGTTGCGGTTGATAAAAACATTATTTACAGGTACTTGGACACAGATTTGAAGTTATTATTTTCTCTTTAATAATATGTTTTATGGTGTGACCGTTGGGGCGAGCGCAGTTGTACCATCAAAAACACTTGAGATCAGCCACTTCAAACGTCAAGCCGCACGAGATATCTTGACTAGCTGTGACGTCATACAACGTCACAAAGCTCTTCGGAGCTTACGGAGACAGCGGAGCGTCTGTTTGAAACTAAAGAACTAGTGCAATTTTATTGAAAAACATTTCAGATTTATTTCTTGTTTCTTTATAAGATTTCTACAAACTGAAAGTCTGCTATATGCTTTACGTTATTATTTATTTATTTATTTGACAATATTTGCGCAAAGGACATTCGGTAGTGCAGGAATTCTGGGAATGTTGCACAGAGAAATTTGGCTGACGTATGTACAGATTTTAATCCGAATTTCCTCTGTTCTTACACGTTAGTCTATTGAGCTCGCTGCGCTCGCTATTACCACTCATATATTTTAATAGCATTTCACACAAAAATTAAAAATCTTATTTCATATAAAAGATATTAAAATTTCCCTAACTATAACTATGATGATAGATCTACTTAATTTTTGGCTCCTCTATTTTCCTGGTTGGTTATGATTTGAATAGAGTTGGAATCTACACTACCCAGGATGCTTCCATATAAATTTGAACAAAGACTGCTTTGCTGTTCTTGAGAACAATATTTTTAAAAGTTTTTTCCTATGAATTCCTATGTTAAACTTTGATACCTGATTCTGGCGCCGCCCTACCCCAAAGTGGCATGATTTGAACAAACTTGAATCTACACTACACAAGGATGCTCCATATGACAATGATGACCAATTATTGCTTTGCTGTTTATGCATTCCTATGCTAAACTTTATCCCCCATCATGGCCCCAACCTAACCCCCGGGGTCATGATTAAAACAAACTTGAATATGCACTACCTTAGGATGCTTCCACATTAGATTCATCTTTCCTGGCCCAGTGGTTCTTATGAACAAGGTTTTTAAAGATTTTCCCTACATATTCCTAGGTTTGACTTTGACCTCCATCATGGTCCCACCTTTATGATTTGAACAAACTTTAATCTGCACTACATGAGGATGCTTCCTTCTAAGTTTCATCTTTTCTGGCCCAGTGATTCTTGAGAACGAGATTTTTAAAAGAAGCCATTAATTTTTTCACTAATTCATAATTATCTTCCCTCAGAAGAAATGGTGGCCTTACATTTGGACTTGAATCCCCTTCTCCCAAGGAAACTTTATAGCAAGTTTGGTTCTTCAGAAGAAGATGAAAGTATGAAAAGTTTACGACAACAACCAACCATGACAGACAACTGAGAAATTTTGATCGGAAAAACTCACTTGAACCTTCCTCTGCAGAATAAGGCCTCCAGCATAGCAACAGTCAACACTGCTTGACGACAGATGATATTACAAAAAATATTGACTGTACAGAATTAATTTGTGCAAGGTTCACCGTAGTATGTATTTGTTTAAAGCATTCAAAACAATATAATTATAATAGCATATTGTTGAGTGTAACATTGAAAATGGACACCCCATGAAGACCCATTGTCAACCAAGGTGTTTTCTTGGGATGAAAATGTTCAATGTTACACTCAACTAATTTAAATGAAATTTTTTTGTATTATTTACAATGAACTTTTGCTGTTACTGTATAATCCCTATTAACTGCCCCCTGGGCTTAGATAACTGCAAAAAGGGGTGATTATTTTGGTATACTCTTTATAATATTTAATGTCATATTTTTACTTCAAAATTTTTTTGAAAAAAAAGAAATAAAAGAAACCAATAGAATAATGTCTAACTTTACTTAAAGTGAAAATAATCCACCCAAATTAATTATGCTATACATGGATTACTCATTTTCCATTGAGAAATTGGAAAAAAAAGTTTAAGTTTCACATTCTTCAATTTTTGATACAATTGTAGTAACTGTTGATTTTAATTACTGTAAGGGGTCCTTATTTTTTGACAATGGAAAAAGACCTAAGGGGGCATTTATAGGGACAGGGGCGGTTAATAGGGAATATTTACATTTCCAATGTCTTTGTCCGAGATAAAATTACCAATTGTAAATGTAATTGATTTCCTCATGAATGTTTTGGCGCGGTTCCAAAAAAAACCACGTGCAGGGCGGGACAACACCTAGAGAGAAGCAGGCTTGAAGCCCGTGGATTGGCGGAATCAAAGCATGTAAATATAAGGAAAAACTGTCAGATTTTTCGAATTCATGAAGATGATCAATGGATTGGTTCGTGTGATAACTTGTAAGAAATTATCACACAAGCCAATCCATTGATCACTTCATGAATTCGAAAAATAAGACAAGTTATTCCTTAATTAAACAGTACATGTATACATACCAGTAGATTCTTCTCTCTGATCGGATCCTGGATCTCTGGTGCTGGGTATAGCTGTCTTCACCTCAAACTCTGACATGGTCTGTTTATTAAATTATTGCTAACGCCTGTAAAAGAATATTTTTTTTTAAACAAGAGGCCCATGGGCCTTATAGGTCACCTGAGCATCATACAACAACTTTCAAATGATTGAATTTGGTTCATGTTTTAAGCTAGATGCTATGGCATTCACAATTCTAAAAGAGGCACCATTGCTAATCATAATTATACACTTAGCAATTGTTTAGTTTGTTTACTTAATATGGATAAGAAGGGTAGGGGAACAAAAAAGTATGTCAACTAATCAGTAATATTCAGCAATAATCAAGAGTTCTCCTACCACATATGAACCCCTGACCCTAGGTCTACACATTGCACAATTTTTGAAAAGGCACACTTGCTTATCAAAAATGTTTGATTAATACCAAGGAGCAGATTTCAAACAATTCTTTTTCAGTGTATAAGTAGAGCCCCCCCCCCACTTCCCCATTTTGGTATCTCAGACCAGGGGCCTTGAAATTCACAATTCTGGAAGAAGAGCCCATCCCATCATAACTATGTTAATAGTTCATTTTGCTTATTACCCAGGAGAAGAGAAAAAGATTTTCATAGATGTAATGTATTTTCACCATATAATCATTATAGAGGCACATCCTAACACCATAACCCCTGACCCTGGAGCCATAAAATTCACAATTTTAGGTAGAAGCATTCTTGCTCATCATAGCTATGTCCTTAATTAGATTATTTAATACTCAGAAGCAGAGAAGAAGATTTTCAAAGATTTAATGCATTTTCACTATATAATCAATAGAGCCCCGCCCTAACACCAGAACCGCTGACCCTGGGGCCATGAATTTCACAATTTTGGTAGAGGCACTCTTGCTCATTATAATTATGTACTTAGTAAGTTTATCAAATACTCAGGAACAGAGAAGAAGATTTTCAAAGATTTAATGCATTTTCTCTATATATTCATTAGAGCCCCACCCTAACACCAGAACCCCTGACCCTGGGGCCCTGAATTTCACATTTTTGGTAGAGGCATTCTTGCTCATCATAACTATGTACTTAGTTAGTTTATTTAATACCTAGTTGCAGAGAAGAAGATTTTCAAAGATTTAATGCATTTTCACTATATAATCAATAGAGCCCCACCCTAACACCAGAACCCCTGATCCCGGGGCCCTGAATTTCACAATTTTGGTAGAGGCACTCTTGCTCATCATAACTATGTACTTAGTTAGTTTATTTAATACCTAGTAGCAGAGAAGAAGATTTTCAAAGATTTAATGCATTTTCACTATATAATCAATAGAGCCCCACCCTAACACCAGAACCCCTGACCCTTGGGCCATGAATTTCACAATTTTGGTAGAGCCACTCTTGCTCATTATAATTATGTACTTAGTAAGTTTATCAAATACTCAGGAACAGAGAAGAAGATTTTCAAAGATTTAATGCATTTTCTCTGTATAATCAATAGAGCCCCACCCTAACACCAGAACCCCTGACCCCGGGGCCCTGAATTTCACAATTTTGGTAGAGGCACTCTTGCTCATCATAACTATGTACTTAGTTAGTTTATTTAATACCTAGTAGCAGAGAAGAAGATTTTCAAAGATTTAATGCATTTTCACTATATAATCAATAGAACCCCGCCCTAGCACCAGAACCCCTGACCCTGGGGCCATAAAAATCACAATTTTTGGTAGAGGCACTCTTCTTCATCATAACTATGAACTTAATTAGTTTTTTTAATACCCAGGAGCAGAGAAGAAGATTTTCAAAGAATTAATGCATTTTCACTATATAATCAATAAAGCCCCACCCTAACACCAGAACCCCTGACCCTGGGGCCATGAATTTCACAATTTTCGTAGAGGACTCAATGCTGATTACAATCATACCAACAGTTTGCTTGATGTCTGGGAGTAAAGAAGAAGATTTTTTAAGATTGCACTAATTTTAGTGGTTTTTGCCCCACCCCCAGGCCCCAGAGGGGCAGGGACCATGAAATTCATAATTTTTGTTCCCCTTCACCCATAGATGCTATATGCCAAAATTGGTTGAAATTGGTTCAGTGGTTTCAGAGAAGAAGCTGAAAATGTTTAAATGTTAACGCACGACGCACGACGCACAACGCACGACGGACGACGGACGACGACAGACAAAAACAGATAGCAATAGGTCACCTGAATTTACTCAGGTGACCTAAAAAAAGAAATAATTATTTTAATTTTTATTATTTTCCAGGTAACAAAAAAAGGATAAAATGTATGGCTACACCCGGAATCAAACTCAGATCACCCATGTCACTGGTCAGGCCAAAATAAAACATGACGCCCATGGGCCACATCGCTCACCTGAGAAGCTTTGACCATTCTGTTTTTTACTAGATTTCCCCCTTGTAATACATATCGTGACCCCACCCTACCCCACTGATCATAATTTAGACAATTTGATATCTACACTACCCCAGGATGCTTCCAGATAAGTTTCAACTTTTTTGGCTCAGTGGTTCTTGAGAAGAAAATTTTCAAAGGTTTTTCCTATATATTTCTATGTAAAAATTTGATTCCCCATTGTGGCCCCGCCCTAACCCCCCCCCCCCCCAACTCGGGTCATGATTTGAACAATTTAGAATCTACACTACCCCAGGATGCTTCCACATAAGCTTCAGCTTTTCTGGCCCAGTGGTCATTAAGAAGATTGATTGATTGTACATTGTTTAACTCCCTCTTCAGAATTTTTCACTCAATGACATATGGAGATGTCACCGTGAAAGGCTTCAAATTTAGACCTATACTCGGCACTCAGGGCCATTGAGCAGTGAGGGTTCTTTATCGTGCCAGCGCCTACGGTGACACCGGACTTATGTTTTTAAGGTCATATCCGAAAGACCCGTGACTTAAGAAGAAGATTTTTTTCTATATACTTCTATGTAAAATTTAGATTTGCCATTGTGGCCCCGCCCTTACCCCCGGGGTCATAATTTCAACAATTTAGAAGCTACACTACCCCAGGATGCTTCAACATAAGTTTCAGCTTTTCTGGCCCAGTGGTTCTTGAGAAGAAGATTTTTAAAGATTTTTCCTATATATTTCTATGAAAAACTTGGATTCCCCATTGTTGCCCCGCCCAATCCCTGGGGGTCATGATTTGTTCAATTTAAAATCTACACTACCCCAGGATGCTTCCACAAAAGTTTCAGCTTTTCTGGCTCAGTGGTTCTTGAGAAGAAGATTTTTTCATAAACCCACCCTATTTTTGTCTTTTCTTGATTATCTCCCCTTGTTAAGGGATTTGGTCCTTCATTTCAACAATTTAAATTCCCCTTCACCCAAGGATGCTTTGTACCAAGTTTGGTCAAAATTGACCCAGTGGTTCTTGAGAAGAAGTTGAAAATATGAAAAGTTTACGGATGGACAGACTGACGACAGACACAATGTGATCAGAAAAGCTCACTTGAGCCTTCGGCTCAGGTGAGCTAATTATAGTTTGTTTGGAATATTGCCTCCCGCCTCATTGAAATGCCCCCTCCTGAAAAAAAAAATTATTGTCCAAAAGTAGGAAAGTTTTTGTTTATTGCCCGTTAAAACATACACAATACAACACACTAAAATGTAGTGTCAGATCTTTGCAAAATTTACAAAATTCAGTTTCTTTGTTGATGGTAGATTTTTTAAGTCAGAAAATGTGTTTACTGAGCATGCTGAGATTTATATAAAAAAATTATCTGCAATTTTGAAAAAAAAAAAAAAATCCTCCATCCTGTGTCTGAAACCCTCCTGGTGGCAATTCCAAACAAACATTTTTTAAGGGTGGCCTCAGGTGCTCTACCCATTTCTTTTTAATATGGCCATAAATTAATTAGATCAAATAATAACAATTTGTTTCATCACTTCCTTATTTTTTACATGTTTAATGGGGATATATTACTTTATGAAGCAGGTCCAACACAATACCCTGATAAAGGTATATACTATATAGCTTGATAAAGCTATATAGCTTTTTCATTTAATTTCTATGAAATACTTGATTCTGATTGGTTGAAAAATTCTTTTGATACCTGCATCAATAAAATCTAGTTCGTTTGCACTAAGCAGCCGGAACTACTTGTCATTCTCTACACGTATTCCCGTATTTCCCGCTTCTAGGTTACTTGCTTCTTGAAGGAATATATTAAATAATTTTACTTTAATAAATATTTTCCTGAATTTCGAAATCTGCCCGTCATGTTCCTGACATATTTTCTACTTTCGTTTCTAGTTGAATTATCGCCCTTTGCTAAACAAATCAAATCGTCTGCATAAAAACAGTACAGTTTTGGGAAAGAAGGAGAAAAATGTTTGGATTTGAGATGTCTGATATGAACAATAGAATTCTGATGAAACGTTTTTTATGCTACAAAAGAGAGGAAAAACGTTAATCTGTTAAATTTTGGGAAACGAATGATCGAGAAAAACGACACTGCATGAATGAGGACATATTCTTTTAATCTTACACAGTCGACAGCAGACTCTTTCAGGTTTTACAGCATTGACAGGTTGTGATATGTATAATATATTCAGATGAAAAGATGTGCAAAAAGACCTAACGTTAATTGGGGTTCGAACTGTTAGGATATTTGAGTAGCTTCCCTTTACATTTACAAACTTAGATAACTTACCGGGGAAAATATACCAATTGGGATAACACAACAGGTAAGTTTTTTGTGTTAAAGAACTGTAAATTATTTCAGAGAATTTTTGTAATGCCACGACAATATTTGAGAACGTTTCCTCGTTTGAGCCATTTTGAATTTCAGCAACGTTTATGTTGTTGTAATGTATTCGTGCGCACTGTTTTTGATGCGTATATTCAATTAGAAAGGTGAAAGAAAGTTTCGTTTTATTTATTTAAAATAATAATTAAATTATAATAAATGAATGTAATATTTTTTACTTTTATCGATGTATCAAAGAAAAATTTGGACGGAAAACTTTTTCATCAATGCGCTACGCGCATTGATGAAGTTTTCCGTCCAAATTTTTCTTTGATAGATCGATCAAAGGAAAAAAAATTACAT